GATATTCTAAACCATTTTTGAATCACTAGAAGAAAAATCGCTAACAACATTAGATTATCAAGGCTAGTCAGAGAGGTGTTTGGCTTTTCTGGTTCTTACACAGAGAGTAGCAGACACCTCGAGAGGATCCCAGAACCACAGCAATAACCACGAAGGGGTTGGCGAAAATCCAGAAGCACCAGACCAAGGAGGTCCGAAAAGCTCTGACCAAAACAGGGGGACACAGCTGTGACCCCAGAACACATAGATCTTTGACATAGGGGCAGAATAAATCCCCTCATCTATGCAACAACAGAAGAGGAGCAGAACATCACCCAACTGGAAGACACTGGTAGCTGCAGAAATAAAATAAAGGTCAAAAGCTCCTCGGACAGAGGTTCTAGTCCGAGTACGTTAGCACCATGATGAGGGTGGGGGGAAACTGAAGCACCAAAAATAAAGCTGGGGGAGAACTGGAGAGTGGTGGGAGTGTTATCTGTAACTACTGTTGTTGTTGTAGCCATTATCTTTTCTTGCATTTGAATTGCCCAAACACAGCAATTATACTTCTAATCAAAGAATTGTTGAATCATGTGGATGTGAAAGAGTGTGGATGTTTAGGTTTTATGACTTTGGAGGGGGCTGAAGCTATAAGAATGTGAGAAACAGTCAGACACTTCGACATCTGGCGGACACCCTCCTGTCCACATCTCCCGTCTGGACATTTATGCTCCAGTGTTGTATGGAATAATGAGATTGTTGATTGAGCATTTATACACCGAGTGTTGTTCTTCCTTCAGCCCAAAGAACAAAGAATTAGGATATTTAACAATATTCAAGTTATCTCTGATCATGAGCAGTCAAAATTTTTCCACCAGCGCATTTCTTCCTCAGAGATGATCCCAGCACCACACAAAACACAACCACTATCTTTAATCCATCGGATGATGAAAATGTGTCATATTTTTCATAAAAATTGACTTATTTCATTAAAAATTCTTAAGAGCTGATCTTCATCTCTCCTCCATGATTAGAATCCACAATTGTGACACCATATAAATAACGGAAGGGATAATGAGTGGTAAGTATTTTAGTGGGGGCTTTATATGAAGCAACGTCAACATAGCTAAGTCTGCAGCTTTCTTTGTTAATCCAGTCTTTCTTCACTCACACATTTAACTTTTCTTTATAGTCTTTTGCATGCATTTGTGGTCTGACACTGTACCACAGTTGGTTTGTGGCCAGATCAAAGTAAAGTGAATTACACTGATCAAATATTTGTCAAGATAAACAGCTTAGAAATAAACTGATTGTTGTTAGTGTTTCCATTTGGTGGTTAAAAACATATTTATAGGTTTTCTGTGCCACTAACTGAATACTTTATCACTTCTACTGCATACTTTTGTAACTTCCCAGTAGGTCATCATTTGTTGGCAATAGTGAGATATGTCTTAACAGGTTTCAGCGGAGACTCTGTAGCATTCATAGTGCATTAAAAGACTCATTGAAAGGACTTTAAACCATCTCCGGTCCATTATGTGTTCAGTATGAGTTACCATGGTGATCTAGAGAGGTTGAAAGAAAGACATCTTTGTGGCACTGCAATGTGGGATATAATGGTGCAGTTTATTTATTTGTTCTATTAAATACAAGGGTTTTTTTTATATTAATATGATAATGAGACAGGGGCATGCAGGTCATTTATGTTTATTCTATAAAATTAAAGCAAGTCAAAAAACATGGATTCTTATAAAAACACTTGTAAGAACAAAACAGCAGTTTGAGACATTCTGACTTTCAGTTTCTAGTAACGACGAGAATAGATAAAGAGCTACTTTTAAATGATTAAGACACAGTTTCACATGTATAATGTTGGTATATTCAGAAGAATTTATGAAATCGAACGTGAGGTTTTCTTTTCTTTTCTCCTGTGTCGTAGACAGTATTGAAACATGTCAGGTAACCCACTGCAGTTCAAGTTTCTAGAAGACTTTTGTTTGCACCGGAGCTTTCCCTGGAACAATGCTACGTTACTCCCCCATCGCACGCAGCACTTCTGAGATATTTTATTTGATAACACAATCAGTTGATCACTGTAGTCATTTTTCTGGTCAAACATTTTGTGAGTAAACCAAAGCTACAAAGAAGCTGTGTAGACTTGTGAAATGAATATAGTCAAAACACTGCTCAGGCGAATTAGGAGCAGCTGGAGACTTGATAGTAAAGAATTAAACAAGATTACCCAAAAATTATAATCTGAGGTTTCCATCCATATGACGTGTTAGAAAGCTTTGATCGGTGTATCTCATTTATCCACGAGATCCTGTATTGTATTATCATGGATGACAGGTGTGATATATACACTAAAAATATGTGTACTGAGTAGGGATGGGTACCGGTGTCCGGTGCCATGATGGCACCGGTTCTGACATAAACGGTAGTAACCAGACTGAAAAGCAGCGCACATTTCAGTGCTTTATTTTTTTTCCTGAGCTGTGATACACTTTAGATTCTAGCCAATCATTTTATGTTTCCGAGGATAGTAGGCGGGTCCAGGTTCTTTTAGAGCAGAGCTACAGATTAAAAATGCCCAAGGCGAAGCGGTCAAAAGTCTGGCTGTACAGCAAAATATGCAAACTCAGCAGCCTGCAACAAGTGCTTTAAGCTGATACTGTGATACTGTCAAAGGAGGTAACACCTCAAATCCGATGAAACACCTGGCGACGCATAGCGTTTTTTTTTTTTTTAAAAGCCCAGAAATGCGCCGTATTTGATAGCTTTCTGCGGGACCTCACACCGTGCACATCTACTGCAGGTGTGGTGCCTGTTATCGGATCCGGAGTTAGCAACATCCCCCAAAAACTCGAAGAGCAGAGTCCTGGCCCCTAGCCCTGCCAGTGTAGCAGAAATGATGACCGATGATGGCAGCAGCAGCAGCAGCAGCCGTTCTTCTCTGTGTGAGTAGCTTAATGTTGTTCGTGTGTAATTTACGCTGAGTAGGCTAACCACGTTATGAAATTAATGCATGTAAGGTGAACTAGCAAACATCATCATAGCTACATGCGGCTGTCTTCTTGTTTGATGGCAGATACTCCCTTCACCCTGGCCAAAAAGGCTAAAATGACCAAAGAAAAAGTTGAAAACAGCTAAACATGAGAGGTTTTTGGACAAAGTTTGTGTTTTTTCCATTGTTTAAGCACTGCTTCCAGCCAAGAGTGATACCATAAATCCCCTATAGCTGCAGAAAAGGCTAACATTGTTATCTTTTTAATAAAAAAAAAAACAGCTGAACACGAGAGGTTTTTGGACCAATTTTGTGTTCTCCATTCTTTAAGCACCGGTTTGAGCACCGGCACCATTTCAAAAGTACTGGTTTGGCACCGGTATCGGATAAAACCTAAACGATACCCATCCCTAGTACTGAGGAACTGAGGAAGTCCTTATAATATTTATGCGATTACAATTAAAAAAATTTTTATAAGGAGTAAAAACATCAACAATGTAACACTTCATAAAGATAATTACAAAACAAACAAAAAATGCAGTGTTGAAATTTCAGGAAAGAAACAAAATGTAAATGTAAACAGTAACTTAAAGCTGGTTAATTTAAAACAAAGCAAACAGCACACTTAAATGATTTAAGGCTTTAAAAAAAAGTTGCCACAAACAAACACCCACCCCCCTCCACTGAAAACAAAACAAGAAACAACAACAACAGTCAGTCCAAACTATATGACACAGAGGAGAAGCTTTGCTGGTTGCTGCATTTTAAAACCAAGCAGTCATTAACAACCAAAACTTTGCAAGATGGAATTCAGTTGAATAAACTGAAAAATATCCATCTGTCCACATCCATTTCTGGTCATTCATTTCACTTTTTATTTACTTTACTCTTACTCTCTCATCCATCCTGACTGATTTGTCTGTAGTTTTGCTAATATCCATGACTGGTAGCATGAGATGGTACCTGACGTTAGGGCTGCTCGATTATGGCAAAAATGATAATCACGATTATTTTCACTGAAATTGAGATCTCGATTATTTGACAATATTTATTTAACCCTTTAAGACCTACCATAGAACCAAGTCCGCCAGAGCTTATATTATATTTTTACATGCTGTAGTGCCATTTTTGGGAGCATTTCAAGTTGCTATACATCAATACAACTGTTATAGCCCATATTTTAATAATATGCATGCATTAAGTCCATAGTAACTACATTAATTGCAAAAAAAAGTGCAATAAACTACAAAAAAATTGAAAATCGTTTTTGTTTTTTTATACATATATTTCTACTTGGAGAAATTTAAGAGTTTTATCCCTCAAAACTTTAAGTACAAAAAAGTTGCAAAAAATAGTTTACAACAACAGGAAATTTATTTTGAGTGTCTTCATAGTTTTATTTTGGAGATACAGCAATTTTTATATACTGCAGGAAAAACGAAAACAATCCTATGATGCAAATTTGCAAAGAAAACAGCAGGTGCATCAAAATAAAATATTTCCAGCAGTACAATTCGAGTTCTAAGCATCTCAGAAACTATTCAGAAAAGTCAAACATGACTTATAAAAACACCAGTATAGGCTTTTAAGGCCTACAAGTAAAAAAACTACATTTTCCACAAAAATGGCGGACAGGCGATAGTTCGCGCTGACGTCTGTTTCAATGTGGTAAGTGTTACAAACAGCTGATCGGATCGGCAAAGCATGTTTCTGGAATATTATGTTTTTGTTCCTGTAAGCGCTTTTTATGCAATTTTTGCAAAGCTATATGTGGAAGGAAACCGTGACCTAGGACAAGTGGATGGCATGAGATGTAAGTACAACTCCTCTGGTTTCATATGCAAAAATACACTGTTCTGGTTTTGCAGGGATTTAAAAATAGTTACACAAACTGGAGCGTGCTGCTCTGACCGGCTTTAAAGGGTTAACAATAACAATGTATTGAATAATGACTTTAAAAAATAATATAAAATAGTGTGCAAATACTAATAACAGTGCAAATGTTTGCAATATAAGAAATAAATGAAAAATGTAAGCATCTATGTTTAGTGAACTTTGCAGTGTTGCATTCATTAATGGAGAAATGTCAATGGGGGAGGAATGTAAATGATACCAAGTACTTTAACCTGGTCCTTATCTGTTTATTCCTCAGTCTGCAATGACACGTTGGTGGAGCCCTCAGTACAGGTGCTGTATTATCCATTTCTGCTTTCCACAGCTGTCAGCTGAGATCCCCGAGAGAGACAATTCAGATCCTTTGTATAAAGCGGCATTTTAGTTATGACTGAATATGCAAGATTTTACAAGGACTATTTAAACTTTACTCCTAGAATATTCAAAACACAATAATAATAATTTTACTGCTAAGGGGCTCAGATATTTTAAGAAGAAAATTTAATAAAATTAATTGTACATAATTAAACTCTATCTCCAGTGATACCTTAAATTATGCACACATATATTTAGGGTGATGTTTAAAATTGAGGGAAACAAAAAAGACTTTTACCTTTTCCTGGAGTATTTCTCTTTGGCTATTAGTCCCATTTTTAGAATCTTTTGAAACTAGATGATACCGCCTGTGAAAAAATACAAAAGACATAGCGTTCGCATTTTACAGTTAGGTTAGGAACTTTTAGGAGCAATAACAACTTTGTCTCTGTATCCCACCACATCTTAGTTTTTAATTCTCTTTTCCTCCTTTTGTGATTCTTTTCTGTTTTCAGATATTTTGTCACGGCTGCCGGGCCGTGTAGTGTTGGAGGAAAAGGACCCAAAATGCAGGCAATGACTGATGATATGAGTGAGAGTTTATTTACAAGTGGCAGAGTGACAAAAGCAGGAAGTAAGAAGAGAGAAGCTACTGAACAAACTGGGAAAACTAAATAGCAAACCTGAGATCATACGAGACAGGGTGAGGGGCAGAGAGAAGCAGACTAAAGAAAAGAACACCATGAAGTACCCACAATATATATACACACACACACACACACACACACACACACACACACACACACACACACACACACACACACACACAAGGAGACCAGGTAATGACAAACAGGTGGGAAGCACAGCTGATCCTAATACACAAGATTACCAGAGGATACAAGCTGAACACAGTGACACCAGACACAGACCTTCAAAATAAAACAGGACAATCACAAACACAAACAGAGCACAAGGGGAGGACACAGGATATATGAGGACACAGCTGGTATATGACCCAGCACTATGACATATTTATTGTTGAGCTTTATGCATTTATTTTGTCCTCACTGTGAGGCACTGACTGAATTTGCTGTATTCAGGTGAATATACAACAAGTTTACAAGTATTGTCAAGTCCTTCAATTTCTCTCCCCAATCAGTCACGGCAGACGACCGCCCCACTCTGAGCTTAGTTATGCTGGAGGTTTCTTCCTGTATGGAAACTCCCACTGGGTTTAAATCTGGGACTCTCCACCATTTGACTCTTAGAACTGAAGAAGCTTCTCGGATGAGAAATGAAACGTCTTCAATCAACTTAAAGAAGTCCAGACGCTTTTCTTTCCAAGCTCCTTAGACTCCATTCTGTTTATCTTGCCCTGAGACTGATACATACATGTTGGAAGTTCACAGAAAAAGCTTCCAGGGTGCAAATGTAACACTTGGAATCCTCTCCAGACTTTTTACCTGTTTAATTTATAGTGCAGCCCACAATCTTCTGCAACAGTTTTAGAGGGAAATGCTGAATTATATTTGAGATCTTCAAAATATAATAAGACAACTGAGAATTGTATATAAAGGAACAAATATTACTGTCCAACCTCAGAGTCTGCACTGCAACGACACTAGTTTTTGTTGTTTTTTTTATGTACAAATGTGTGGACCTATTTGTACATCGTGCGACTATGGTTTCACATGAGAAGTACTCGATATTGTGCTATATATGAAGTATCTGTGGAGTCATTGTTCTACATACTTTTTAAAATATTCAGATTTAGAAAAGCCCCATACTGCAGCTCCAATGACATTGAGGGAAACCAAAAGGCCAAATAAAGTCCAAGCAGTAGAGCGAGTTCCTGCAGGGACACAAAAAGGAAGAATATAATGAGTTCCCAGTTTCCTGGAATTCAGTTTTATATTTTCACATTTAGATGGCCCAGATGGTATTCAAACACCATGCAACACCTCCACTGAACACATTAATAACTTGTACTGACAAGATTTGTTACGCAAAAGTAAATCAAAGAAACACGAAACAAACTTGATATGGTGGTCTACGCTTCAGTGGTGACTTGAATGATATTTCTTTTGAATGCAGGTTGTAGTTTAGGCTAAATTAGATGTTTACAAAGGCATTCTAACATGTTTTTTGGGCATGGCTGGAAAATCATTGAAGCTCCATAAGGAGAGGTTTTACTCAAATTTTAGATGTTCAAGTATGCATTTATATAAACTTGTGGAGGGGTAGCACCAGGAAACAGAATAAAATCAAAATGGCAAAACATCAGTTCAAATCCAAAAGTCAGAAACAAATCCAGAAAGATTTGAACAAACTGCATAGCTAAATTCAAGCTGACCTCACCTGATGCCACATGCACATAGAGCTGACTGTGTTTACTTCCATGTGGATTAGATGCTTTACATCGATAGAGGCCGTTTAGACCAGAGGTCAGACTCAGCAGTTGTAGCTTCGCACCCTCTACTTTGACAGCAGACTCCAGCAAAGGCTGGCCAGATCTGGAAAAACATGAACAAACTTTAATGTGAGATGTACAGAGAGGGCAGAAAACTGTGAGTTGTGTCAAAACTCACGTTAATTTCAATTATTAGCCATTTGTCTTTCATTGCTCACCCCAAGATACTGTATTGTTTCATTTTATGAATGCAAAAGTAAAGCTAACCTTACATGTTACATCATTTCTTTCTTGGGCAGAAAATTTTAGTTTTAGTAATGTTTTGTACTGTGTACCATCTTGTTCACCATTTTAGAAGTTAAAAGAATCAAATTTAAAGCAATTTTTCCCTTTTGAATTAGTTTTTATTGCCTTATGTAGTGCATTGATTGGACGATTCGATAGGTCACATCTAAACAAAAGCAGGTTTGGATATCAGAAAATAAAACTTCTGTTTCTCCACAGGGTCCACATAGCGCTCAATAACTCCAACAGAAAGAACTAGTCTTAATCCCTTAGTGTAGCTTTAGAGCAATAAACATAAAGCAAGACTAACACAAACATGGCATTCACCAGGAATTCCTCACACCTAATGGATAATCAGCAGTAAACTATAGACAGAGAGCCCAAGAAAGACTACTGAGTGACACCAGTGCAGTATAATGGACTATCAACTTTCAATATGAACTGTGCACACATCCTGTAAATGAGAACAAACAGGCAAGTCTGTACTTGTATCTACCTGAAAAGATGATTGCTTAATGCGTGCCAACTCTTTTTAAACCTGTAAAACAGTCCAATAAATCATTTGCTTTCTGAATGTGTTATAATAATAATAATAATGGATTGCATTTATATAGCGCTTTTCGAGAACCTCAAAGCGCTGTACAATTCCACTATTCATTCACTCTCACATTCACACACTGGTGGAGGCAGCTACAGTTGTAGCCACAGCTGCCCTGGGGCAGACTGACAGAAGCGAGGCTGCCATATCGCGCCATCGGCCCCTCTGACCAACACCAGTAGGCAAGTAGGGTAAAGTGTCTTGCCCAAGGACACAACGACCAGGACAGAGAGCCCAGGGATCGAACCGGCGACCTTCCGGTTACAGATGCGATTCCCAACCCCCTGAGCCACGGTCGCCCCCGTTATCCATATTATTGGCCAACACAAGGCCTAATGGCTCTGATTTGAGAATTGGTTTCTTTCTGCTGAGCTGAATCAGCCTACATACCTCCCCAGAGCTCCTGGACAGCCAAAACAACAGAGCTGCAATACTTCCAGATGCTTTCAAACAAGTTTGAACTGGCCTTTCTGTTACACATAATTTTCTTATACTGAAATGGATCTACTTGTGTATTTATTGGCAATATTTAGTTTTCAAGTGCAATTCTGCCACAAAGTTTTGTATCTTGCTTTTGATGGACGGTTTTTGTAGTTATCTTAGAGGGAAAAAATGGGATTCAGCTGCTCTGACAAGTTAATGATATCAACCAAAAATGTTGTCCCTCAAAACAAACAAGCAGACAGGAGTATTTCTTTCTGCAGGAAGTAGGTTGCAGAGTAGTTTTAATTTGGTATAATTTATATAATAATTATAATGCCCTGTAGTATTGGAGATAGCCACCCTTGGGAGGACTGCATTAATAAGCGTTATCAGACCAGATGTTACACGCCATATAAAGCATACAACGCTTTGACTGTGAATATGGTTTCTGCAGAATAAGACAGCATAGCAGTGGCTTAACTTTTGTTAAGTTGCATACCACAGATTGATAAAGAGTTGATAAAGAGTTCCTACACTCAGGTTGATCATTGACCATTTTTAAACAATACCGGTAACTAAAACCAGCATGATGCAGAGGTACAAAGGTTACAAAGATAAACAAACTCCCACATACTGCCCTGCTCACGTTTGGTATGTGTATAAAATGACAATAGTTAAGTCGATCCAACCTTAATGGGCATGTATATGGGCAATATCTCTGCATTCCCGCACACACATAAAAGGAATGCATCAACATGAAAGCATTAAGTAGTATCACCAATGTTATATGAATCTAAAATTAAATCTTCAGATCTCAAATTCACAGACGTCAGCAACACATCAAATCATTATCAATCACGTTCCATTTATATTAAACCCAGAACAGAAACACCAAGTCTTTATGTAATAAAATATCAGGTTGTTGTGAAGAAATAAACAAGAGCCTCAAAACCAAACTGATTGTTTGAGAGTTACTGAATAAAACCATTGCAAAAGAATCAATATAACAGCCTTCATCCCAGCACGGATACAGAAAAGAGAGATGAAAATACTTTCTACTCGTGTGTGGTCAAGCAATGAGAAAATAGTGTATGCAGTTGTAGTGTCATGGTTCGCCAGTCCTCGCTACTCGACCTATCATATCTGGGGTTTTTTTAAGTTTTGTTGTCTGTTCCTGATCCCTCATATTCTTCTGTATGTGTATGCCGGTGTTCATGCCTTCGTGCAACACCTGGCCTGGAAAGTTTTCCCTCCCTGAAGCCAGCCATATCTGCCAGGTGATCACACTCACCGAGATTAGTCCTAATTCGAAATAATTGAGCTATATTGAGCTAAAACGTTAAAGTCAAACATTATGTTAACAAGTTTATTTTGTGCATGTGGATCAATGCAATAAGACTTGGCAATTTCAGCAAAATAAATACTTTATAAAGGAAGATATCCTTTTATGGCAAATTTGAACTACAACATATCCTAATACCACGGAGAACATTGGCCTTCCCCTCCTAAGTGCTCACCACCCATGGAGGCACCATAGATATTGGGTGGAGTCTGTATTGGGCGGTGGCTGAGGATGCTGTCTTTGGATGCCGTTGGGCACTTAGTTGAATCACCTTTTCAATGGTGGGTGGAGGTTCAGGGCGGTGATCCTGTGAATGGTAATCCAGGAATTCAATATTTATGGTCTATCATTATGCTCCTATTGTTATTTGGTCCTTGTACAACTGTAGTAAGAGCTGGTCCATTTTACTAGTACTAAGTCAAATCCATTCCGAGTGAGTGTTGGACTTGGCCAAGACTGCTTACTTCACACTCTGCTTACGAGCTGAGTATGTGTTCCAAAGTAAGGCTGTCTATGTGCTCTAGTCTAGGCCAGCTGTCCACAACTCCCGGGTCACGGACTAGTACCGGTCCATCAGTCGTTTAGTACCAGGCCGCAAGAGTTGAGGCTTGGATGTAAAATTTACGGTTTTGAGGGTTTTTAGCAGTTTTTGTTATTTTATTTTTATCATTTTTATCATTAACTCTGTTTCCCTGAGTCTTTTCCCGTGACTTCTGAAAAATCTTCTTTTTTTGGTACCGGTACTGGTTTTATTTTGTTGTATTTATCCGCGACACCTGAAAAGCCAGTCCATGAAAATAATGTCAGACATATACTGGTCCGTGGCACGAAAAAGGGTGGGGACCGCTGGCCTAGGCCAGTGTTTCCCAACAGTACCTTGAGAAATGATCAGGTGTGCTGTGGAAGATTATCTGGTGCCAACTAATTAGTACTCTAAGCCAGACCTTCCCAAAGTGTGGGGCCCACCCCCTAGCGGGGGCGCAGAGCCATTGCAGGAGGGGCGAGGTATGAAAAGGAAAAAAAGAAAACAAAAAAACAACGCTTGGACACTGCTAGCATGGGGCGCCTACAGAAAAGCAAAGCAGGAGATGAATCATCGCTGAATATGTTTCCAAACCAACTTCATTCTAAGCCAAAGACTAGAAAATATGGTGAAGCATATCTTCCCTTTAGTTTCACCTGCACAAGTGCCGAGGTAGGTCTCCCCTGCAGATTTGGTTTTCCCTTCGTCGGGAGCACCGCTGGGCTCTCCAAATCACGGACAAACAACATCCCACATTCTTGATTTTTAGTTCACAAACACTTTTAATGACTAACTACTCTTGACATTTTGGAGATGTTAGCTCTTTATACAGTAAAGTTACAGCGGGATACAAATAACATCAGGCCGTTTCTGCCACGATTTGTTCCCCCTGTCTAAATCGCGGACAAACAGTATCCCACAGCTGTTTATGTTTTTAAACCCATTTTGCACAGAGAGGCATTTTTTTTTAAAAATGCATTGATAGCAATGTTGAATATTATTACACAGGAAAAAAACAACTACATGTAAAATAATTATACCATGACGCCTCTGCCTTTCTAAAAAGAGGGACAGTAACTGCGTGCTTATATGTAAGCGTGTAAAACCTGAAGACGAAACAGCTGTGTTTTCAAAAATACCCGTGTAGGTGCAGACGTAGCGTAAAAGAGTTAGTAGTTTATTTTCTTACTACCTGCAGATTACTTGTATTTGCTTAATTGTTTACTAAATGTTTGAGGTGTGAAATAAACCGCAATTGAGCAAAATATGGGTGTGTGTGGTTGGAGGATGTGTAAGTGCGTGCGTGTGTGTGCGCGCGCGCACGGGGTGGGGGGGGACAACATTTTCTGTAAAACAAAGGCGGGCCCAGCGAAAAAAAGTTTGGGAACCACTGCTCTAAGCGATCGGCGTGAGTAACGGACAGAACAATTACATTTTATTCCACTAGAGGGCAGTACAACTACTTCATCCAATTAAATGGATATGCAACTGCCAGTTAAACAGAAGAAGACAAAGACGAAATTATATAATTGTCATACTGTGAGACATGCAGCGCATAATAGCAACAGATAAATATTTGAAAAGGAAAAAGTCAAAAGGTCAGTCTCACCTTGGTCCCCAGATGAAGGCCCTAACATGAGTAGTGGGCAAAAGAAAGCAAAAAAGGTATACTGGGAACAAAATGAACGACTTCAACTATACCTGGTGCGCAGAGAAAAATTATCTGAACGCTTTTTGTGACATTTTGTTTGGTGGTGTGCTGTGATTTTTCTAACGTGAAAAATGTTCCGTGGCTCCAAATGGTTGGGAAACATTGGCCTATGCTGGATGCAGGGTGCAGTTTGCACTTTACCACTGCACTCTGCTACTTTAGTGCAATAAAACAAATAAATATCCATGTCTTCACTCTTCAAACGTTGTAGACTGCTCCAGCATTTTCCTCCACCCTGCATACCAATTAAAACCAGCTGATTGTACCAAAGTGCTCATGAAGTAAAGGTTGATGTTTGTTTTTCCCTTTCTATCCACCATCATTCAGTTAACTCAAGAACCTTTGTGGCATAATTGTAATGCAAGTAACAACATATTAGTAACTAATTATATTACTGAATTTAGTATAGTGCTAATGGTATATTACTGTATAACTGATAATGTAATGTCATTACAGTAAAGCCTTACTTTGGAACATGTTTCACTGAATACTGCTACATGATGTAATATAGCCTTAAATACAATAACTCTCTCACAGGGTTTATTTTTTGTGTCAAAGAACATAAATCAAACTCTGAGGGTGCAGTTTAAATTATTTTTGAACCACATCTTGAACGCAGTATAATTAAGATCAACTAAAAAAAAAAAACCCAGAGTACTGGAATGTTTTGGTTAAACCATTCTGCAAATTAGTTACCTGCTCCAGTTATATTTGGCTTTTGGGTTGGCTTCTGCCACGCACTCAAATGTGTCCTCTGAAATCAGGCTGATGTTCACTTCTGTGGGAGAGACTGCAAAAAAAGAAAACAAGAACAGATTTAATCCTGAAATAAAGAAATAACATTTCACACGTGTTTAAATCCTATAATGTTACATAAAGTACATTTTGGTGAACTTTTGTTTACTTTCAATTTCATTCAGAGAAACATTTTTTTCTTGTTGCACTCTGACACGACACCGCTACTGATTTACACTACTTTGTGGATGCAAACAAAGTGGGCTGTGGATATGTGCATGTGTCATGCTCTTAGTTGTTGATAAGATTTATATCAATCAAAGCACTGACAAAAAGCATGCATACCGCTGTGCTGTTTCACAGGATTCTAAAAAAATATCAAGAATAGCCTCTGTTTTAAAAGTTGAAACCATGCAGTCCTACATTCCAAGTGGTCACTAGCTTGCCAACAGTCACTTTCAACTATGCATGCCAAGTTTTGCCTTTTAAGGGAATTTTCAGACACATAACACCACAAATGTACCAGATCACTAAGCAAAGCTACTGAATGAGCTTTCTCTTTCAAAATAGCCTCAGCTAGTTTTGTCTTATGGTTTGACCCAACAAATCTCTTTCTCATTATCAAATTATCCTTGTGAGAGCAATTTGTTTTCATTTATATTTTGTCTGAAATGTCTATTTCTGCTTGACATTTTGACAATTGACCCTTTACTCAAAGGAAAGTCATGAGATCAAAGATGATGTGGCAAGTAAAAAAATCCTGAAGAAGAAGAACAACTTTAAATATTTTATGTTTACTGTTGCAGAAAGTATGTAAGTGAGGGTTACTGTCTAACAAAAAATGATTTAGAGTCATAAATATCTATATTACGAGCACTGAATGATCAGACTTTGCTTTTCTTTTGTTTTTAAAGTATTTTATCATTAAATATGTGCATGGCTAAATAACAATGAGTAACCAGTATAGAGAAATTATCCAAGATGTTTTTGCAGACTTTCTACAGTTTAGTAATTAAACAGCTGAGTGTAATACTGGGTGGTGTGTCTGCGACGTGCCTTTTTAAAATAGAACAACATGACATTCAGGTAATAATCCTGACTTTTCTTGTCTCATACACGACAGTTTTAAACAAAAATCTGATCAAATTATTACAATTTTTTAAATCAACAGTGACACAAAAGAAGACAAATAATAAAGTACATGAGCAGCTGATACTCACAGGAGACTTGTATGTTGAAGGGCAGACTTATTTCTTTAGTCAGGAAGTCACCGCTGATGACACACTGGACCTGTTGACCATTAATCTCTCTCGTAGGAACGCCAAACAATGAGCTGACTGTGGTAGTCATACCGTTGTCATACTGGATGGAGTTTGTTGTCGTCCTCACTTTGTCTCCCAAAGCACCAGTGAGCCACCTCACCTCTGCAGGAGGCTTCGATCCAGCAGCCGTGCAGGTAGCAAATAAAACCTCTTCTGTGCCCAAAGTCAGAAGATTCTCCTTGACGCTTGTGAAAGGAGGCACTAGGAGAGTTACAGCACACAATTACTTAACATGCGAGCAACATGGTGAAAGTAACGGTTTCAAACACAAGCGCAAAGAGAATTATTCTAAATAAAAGTTGTTTTTTTCTTCCATACCAATCACTTTTAGAGGTATTTCAATCTTCTGATTTCCACTGGGAAACAGGGTGAAGATGCACGTGTAGCTGCCTTCATCCTTCAGGGCAACATTGGATAACTGGAGAGTTGCATTTTTGTCATTAAAATTCCCGATATATTTAAATCGATCATCACGTCCATTGACAAACCGTGTTTCTTGACTTGGTCCAACAGTGATAAAATTGTCATTACTGGGTTTTTCTCTGGTCCTCCTCTGCCAGGTAATCTGTGTCAAGTCTTCCGTGGAGTCAGTGAGTCTGAGTTTGCAAGGTAAGATAGCTGTATCGCCTTGAACGACTGTCACGCTTCCATCAATCACCTGCAGAGCTGTAAAGTAAATGAAGAAGTATTAATGATGGGAACTGAAAAAGTTGAAATAGAGTGCCCAATAAGGTTTACAGGATTAAACTCTAAAGTATAAATTAACTTGTATCTGTCCTTCTGCTTAGTTTTTGTTTGTTTTTTATGCAAGGCGCAACACATTATGTGTTGCAAGAACACTTGATGGTATTTATGACAAACTGGACTCAACCTCACACTGTATGGAGAGACAATCAAAAATCATGTAGTGGAAAAAAAAATTGGTCAGCTGTATTATATTTTATGCTCCAGCGTTAAGGAAACCGGTGCATACCTGAGCGCCTAGCCCGGACACTGTTGAGCTAGTTAATAGGTATGCCCTCATTGTCATCTGTTGTGAGTTTCTTTTGAAAGGATGCTTCCTGTTATGCTGCAGAGTGCACGCGAGAGTTCAATAAACAAAGTCACCTTTTGGTGTAAAATGTTCCGGTGAAAGCCGATGCCCCACGTGTGATTATTCCTCCATCTAGATAATAAGTATCTTCAATATTCATACAGATTCTGCTGGAAGACCCGTCTCTGCTAACAGACACCAAGAGCCACCAACGCACCGATGTTTGAGGGCGTCAGCCACTGGCAGGGAGAGTGGTGAGGGGAGACAGGCCTCCATAGCTTGGAGGGCCTGAGATGTGAGAGGTGGCATCTAATACCCAACCTGACAAATAGACACAGACAAACAGGCACACACAGATACAAACATCCATTCCCATCGCCATGCACACATACTCAGCACTCACCCAACGTCGAGATGGACATAAATAGACACTGTACACACAATCACACTCCTCAAACATACTCTAAACCCCAGGTCCAGGTACCCTTTCCCCTAGAGGGGGAAACTGCACCTAGACCAAGGAGGTGTTAACTTTTCCCTGGAGTGGAGACAAGGAGATCGCCCCCGAGTCCCGATCCCTCATATGTAGTGTTGATGCGTGTGTGTTCTAAGGTGCACACGTCTGTTCTTTTTACGTTACGTAAATCTGAATACACGCGCACAGCTCTGTTTCGCACACGCCGACTGAGATTGACACATGAATCTGTTTCTACAAATACCCCATCTTTCTTAGCGTTTGCCCTTTGATCCATGACTGTAGTTATATGAGCTGTGTTGTAGTGCAAGCATGCATGAATAAAGACAAAATCTTTCTACATGTAACTTTGTATCTGTAACTTTGTAATTTTAACGTGTTGTCGCCTCTTGGCCAGGACTCCCTTGAAAAAGAGGTTTTTAATCTCAATGGGATTTTTTTCCTGGTTAAATAAAGGTTAAATAAAAAAAAATAAAAAAAAACATACCGTCAGCACCGCTGCTCAGCAGGAGCACAGCCTGCAGCACCAGGCAAGGTGTTAAAAAGAAACAACACATTTCAATTTTTCCTGAAATAACTGCGCCCGAAAACACAAACAAGTCCACCCATTTGCTCTTCTTTTTCCTGCGAGCAGCTACCCATGCAGTACAGGGTTGAGTTCAGTTAACAAGTTAGAAACACGTTTCTAAAGTGACGACGTTTCAAATCCGTTGAATACTGTGAGGGCGTGTGAGAAAAAACAACCTCCTTTCACCAACTCCGTAGGTGGAGTCAGCAACATGATCCTTTGCCCTGTATTTCGTTTGGATCACAGAATTAAGAAATTTGCTTTCAAATGTTTGTTTTTTTTTGCATCCCAGAAGTTTTTCCTTGATGATCATTCCTCTTTGATTGTACAGTACGGTACAGTTTTGTTAAACACAAGTTTTATGATGCCTGTTAGTGGCATCAACATAAATATTCAATTAAGAGTCAGCGAGGAAGATAAAGCTGGTGACGAACAAAAAACAGGCTATGTCTGTTACAAAATGCTCATACACACCACTAAGTATGTCTTAAATTAACATTGTTAACAAGTGTTTAATTTAAACAAGAATACAAGAAACATAAACTGATTGTTCTTCTTCTTTTCGATTACACCTGTCCAGATGAAAAGTGTTTAAGTTCACTTGAAAAAGCCACGAGAAGCATCCAAATACATTTTTAGAAAGCGCCTCACTTTCAGAGTCTTAAAGTAACTGAGCAATTTTAAAAATTGTGTTTAATATTTGGGTGAAAATAATTTTCAGTCAGTTACTGGCTAAAATTTAGAATCACTTCTAGACTCAAGTCAGAAATCACCAAACACTGTAGGCTATATCAATAATTTCAACCCGTTACACACTTGGGTGGTGTGTCATACTTTTCATTGTCATTGTGGATGTTATCTAAGTTTCGACTTATTTAAAACTGTTAGTCATTTGAACTTTGGCCCGCTCCTCCACCTCCACCCTCCACGTTGCTTTAACAGTATCCCTTTGTTTGGGATCCCTGAACCTTTTAGTTTTAATTACTTTGGATCACAGATCTGACAACTTTGTTTTTATGAAAAAAAGGGCCAGCTGTATTTTTTTCCCATCACAGGATTTTGGCTTGTGAATTATTCCTCTTTGGTTGCACATTTTTACTCGCTACATATTATTGTACAGACTTTCTATCATTTTATTTAGTTTTGTTTTAAAAAGTTAGGGGGGGGGGGGTACTAATGTATGCAAATTACAGTACAACATAGTCATAGATTTGCTTTCTCTGTTTCCAGCACTGCTTTCCCCTCTACACGATGTTTAACAATTAAATAAAATTTTTAAAAATCCCTAAATGTTATAGCATGTAATAGATCATGTGAAACGTTTCAGTTCATTCATATTACTAAACATTTCCCATCACTCATCATCATTCATTCAGATGAAAATACACAGTTTCAGACCAAATAAATAAATAAAAGAAAGGGACTGAAGAATAGTGTATAACACAAAGTCAACCAAACTTCAGACATATCAATCTGTCCAGTTAGGAAGCATGAACCACTGTTAATCTACTTCACCTGCTTTGGTTAAAATAAAAGTGGCAACAATTCCACCGGAGAGGCAACACGATGACCCCCAACAAGACTGACTGGTTTTATTTTTCTAGTTTTAACTCTCGCTCTCTACTGGTAGGATGAGATAAGACATGCTTCTGATGAGATGGTGGGTAGTGTCCTTTAAACTTCTACCAGACTATGTGGACCGTTTGGTGGTGTCAAATGCACAGAATCAGAATCAAATTTATTGGCCAAGTATATGTGGAAACACATACAAGGAATTTGGTTCTGGTCGATGGTGTCTCTCAAATGCAGCAATGCAAAACACACAACATATCAGCCAGAAAAGAAGAAATAAACAATACACTATCTACAAACAACAATTCAAAACATTAAAGAGTGAAGGTTAGGGAGCATTGACAAAATCAATGCTTTTGTCACCCAGGAATTGCCTGTTGTCTAACCCAGGCCCCACTGCATGGCTCAGGTGTCAGTTACAGACCTACCAATTCTGGTGTTCTCAGGAAAATGACAATCAAGCAGGTCTGTGAGCAGACCATCTAGTTTTACAGCCGGAAGATGTGTAACTCAGGTGAACTTCCTTTTCATAATACATGGCTAATTGAAGTGCTATTCAAAGGTGAATCAATTATATTCAATTTATAGTTTGCATTCAAACCTTGCTCAAAGGTACAAAAATAAATGGGATTAACTATGACTATGAAAAGAACCATTGACAGGCTAGGACAAGTAGTGGATGTCTAACCTTTTATCTGGGCATTGCTGGAATACCTCCATAGGGAGAGTCATTTTTTGTGTGTAGAGTTTCAGGTTTTTATTTGTTTTCTTTGATAGAAGTCCAAAGAATAGAAAACAGAATCACATCAGAATGACACTGATAGGTTTGTAGCTTGAACCCATCCGCTGGAACGTTGAAGACAATATAATTACAC